GTCCTCGGCTCGTCAGCCATCCATTTTCGATTTCCAAAAGCCTGACATCCCTGCACCAGCCTCGGCTCGTCAGGCATCGATTTTTGATTTTCAGCAAGTGGACACTTCAACGAATGTGCCGCCTGTTCCCCCGTCCTCGGCTCGTCAGCCATCCATTTTCGATTTCCAAAAGCCTAACAACCCTGCACCAGCCTCGGCTAATAAAGGATCCCCTTTCGATTTTCAAGTCCATCGTTCATTTACCCCGGCCTCGGCTGTTCAGCCTTCCATTGATTTTCAAACACCTGGCACGTCTGCTCCAGCTCCTGCCTCTGACAAACCAGGCATGTCTTCCCCTGGCGCCTCAAGGTCCAATAGTACTCTGGGATCACGGAAGTATCTGACGAAATCACAAGAGGCCAAATTACGACTCCAGGGCCAAGGAGGAGCTGCCATTCTGCCAACTCGGCCAGGCGATGCCTTCGTTTTCGGCCCGGCTCCTGTCTTCGTCTACACTCAAGAGAGGACAACACCACGCCCACCACCTTCGACCGAATTGTTGGACTTGGATCCAAACTCCCCACGTGCAAGGGGTTTATGTCGCAAGTACAATATCAAGGTTGTGTCTGATGACAGCATTGGTGATCGCACGGGCGTGGTAGCCAAGGTCGTTCAGGCAATTGGCAAAGTGTGGGAAAGAGCTATGGACCCCGAGGCTTCATCCAACCCTTTGATTAGGAATTTGCAGGCCGCCTTTGATAAATTGTTGACGAGGGGAGATGAGTTTACCGAGATGGATCGTATGGACCTGGTTCGTCATAGCGAAATTCACCAGGAGGCGCTCAGATCCCTGCCTGACAGCATAGCGACAACGAGCCATTATTGGTATGTTTTGGCCACCTTCAAATCGATTCAGACCGTGATCTGGTTGCAGCAATGGACGCTACTTTAGAAGGACTACGGCCATTCATCCCAGACGAGATCCCAGACAAGGGGAAGGGGAGGGACAAAAGGGATGGACCAGGGTTTAAGTAGAAGATTAGATCACAAGACCGAGGTTGGTTCGCTATGTAGTTTGCACCCGGGCACGGTTGAAGATACCCGCTGCCGGATAGTGCTCACATTTAATTGGTCGTAAGACAAGCCTCCCAGCTCAATTAGTCAAACGAACACCTTTTCAACCCTTGCCTTTCATGATAGGAAAACATGATGAACTACGAAGTGACACTGCTGAAACCGGACACAGACTAACATCATTGAACATGCTATGTATTTCGCACCCGGGCATGAATGACTAACATCATTAAACATGATAGGTTTAACTGACGAATGAAACTTTCTTGGACCGGGTGGAATGAACACTTTCTTCAGCAATCTTTTTCGACCGTTCTCAGGTTACTATACCAAGTTCCCCTGTAGAAACCTTGCCTTTCATGATAGGACGAGGCTTTGGTTTTGGCTTGGTGGGGACATCAATAGATGGTTGCTGACTGGGACCGGCCTCTGACTCCTTTTGTTTTGAAGGGACTGGTCGTTTTGCATTGACACCACTTGACTTAGTGAAATCAAAGCTATTCGAAGCTTTGGTTGTGTCCGACCTCAGATTGGTTGCTTGAGCTGGTTTGACAGTGGCTTGGATAACAGCCGAGGCAGCTCAGCATTTGACTTTGCCTGGTCGGGCACTCCTCGGGCCAAGTTTGTAACCCTTCTCTAACCGAGGAAACTTGCAGGGTGTATCCTCCTCATCAGTGAATTTTCTCTTCTTCGCTCGATCGGCCGACTCCACCCCACAGCCCAGGTCAGCTTCCCAAAATGTATCATCAGCCAAGACCTCAGTGTCCGATGGTACTTCATGGGAGAGAGCCCGGGTGTCGTTGTACCGAGGCTGAAGCTCGGGGCTGGTATCTACAGTGATCGTAGCATCGTCTGAGCCCAAATCTGATCCCGAGTCTCTATCCTCTTCCAAGGTCGGGTTGACCCTGCTAGGTTTCACTGTGGGCTCGGTCAGAGTATCCTGCTTTGGCCTCTCTTGACCATTATCGGAGTCTGAGTCACTATCATCGGAGCCATCCTCACGATGTTCGTCATGCTGTTTGGTTGGTTTCTTGGTTGGTTTCTCCACGTCCAAGTCTTCTCCATCGTCATCGGAGCCATCCCAATCAGGAGTCCAGTCATCCTTAGAAAACTGTTCGGTTCGTTTCTTGGCCGGCTTGTCCACATCCAAATCCTTCCAACTGTTGTCATCGAACTGCCGATCTTCCACCCCTTCCTTTCTCTTTGGCCTGGCTTCCTCATCTGACGGTGACTCGGTTGCTGCCCGGCCTCTCCTTTGACCCTTGCTTCTGCCGGGCTTCTTGCCCTTCCCAACACTATGAACATGAGGTTTAGGAACGTGAACTTTGATTTTCCTTCATGGAGGTGCTTCCAGCAGCATTTTCCCCTCAAGAAAGGATTTAAATCGAAAGGCGACTTTGTGTTGTTCTTGACGTTCATACCAAAACTGGAGAGCTTCAGTGACCATCTCCATCGGGAATTTGGAGGGATCAAGAAACTTGTAAAAGTTGTTACCTTCTCCATTTACTGATCTCCAAGCTGGGGGTATATATTCTAGATCAATGAAGTCAAGTAACTTTGATCCAATAGCCGTCCAAGGAGCCGATCCCTTACTCTGCCCAGCTGCAAGATCTAAGTAGACAAATGTTTAGTGATACAGGGCAAGAAATCTCTGGGGACCGGCTTACTATAGTGCTGGTTGACAAATGTACGAAGAACATTCAGCCGCCAAATTTGAATATCACGGGAAGTTTTAAGTGGTGGTTTCGATGGATTGGGTAGAATAGGTTCCAGGTATAGGTTCTTCTCCAAAGTCATAGCACCCTGGGATCGGTGTCCTCCTTTGGCCAAAGCAAGATCCTCCAACCCATAGTATTCTTCATTGTGTGCTCTCCAAGAAGATACCGATATTCCTTCCTCATGGAAAGTCCAGCTATGGTTATCAATAAAGTCTTTCCCATTGCCGAGTTCTTGATTGAAGTCGTACGTCGAGACGTCCAAATTACCATCGGGCTTCAGATAACATCCTAAGATAAAGACCCAGACACCCATTGTGTCATAAAGTTCCTTGGAAAATGCATGCATCCAAGCCGTGCAGTTCTTTACAGCCAGTCTACCAAAGGTCCAGATAAGCCAACGTTAGAATAATGAAAATTAACTTACTTGGACTTGAGTTCCGGGTCAACTCCCTTCTTGTTGTACTCCTCGGCCGTCCTCTGCAGTACGTCTTTCTCCCTTTTCTTCAGTTTTCCCATCATTTGAGTCACGACCCGCTCCCGAAAATCAAAATGAGTGGGATCTCCCCCTTTAGGCCTCTTTTGTCCCTCTTCAATGGCTTTGGCACAAAGCCTTTTCGCTTCGGTATCGATGGCATCCTTGTTCTCATGCTGGAACACATGCCGGGCATGCCACGACTTTCCCATCCTCGGCATTTTCTGACTTCTCTTACGACTGTACCGGGCAAACCACTCTTTAATATCCTACAAGTCCGTCAGGAATCAATTAGAGGGCCCCTGGAAAAAGTACTTACTTTTTTAACAGCTGATCTTTCTTCCTTCTTGAACGATTTTCCATTGGGGAGTATGTCGAGCATGTCTTGCAAAACTCGAGAAAATATCTCAGCACGAGCAGCGTCGTTGGCGTCTCTGTACTCCTGCCGATGTTTTTCCAATAGAGCACTTTCTTCATCAGTCCAATGCCTCCCGGACCCATGGTGCTTGGTTTGACTGGAAAGTGGGGCAGATGGTTCAGGGGATTGAGAATGAGTACTCATAATGATATAATTAATGGTATTTGGGAGCAAAGAGGTAGATGGAAAATGGTAGTCGGGAGCAGAGAGGGAGAACAACTCATGCCAAATACAATGAACAAACAATCACCCCTGATTCGGGAAAGGGAATTACTTTATATATCATCTATCAAAAATATACATAACTGATCAGCACGGAAGATCGAACACGAAACGGAAAAGAACAGACCTTAATAACCTTAAATAGCTTAAATAGCGGAACAGTTATGATCGCATCACAGGACAAAACCTTAATTAGCTTCCTCTGTAATTATGTCTGTCTGTAATTATCGTCAGTCCATCTAAGTAACTAAACTGGTAACACAGTTATGGTGGTATATATTGAAGCTACCTTTATACCAATGTATGATGAGGCTGCCAGCGACATACAGATCTTGATATTGTGCAGTCATATTGCACAAGTATTAGTGACCTTACCCCAACAACACTGAGCCCCCTGACCATACAAACAGGCCAAGGTTGATGGTGCCTGCTGATGAGCCGATGTATATGTTGACCCCATCAAAGCTGGCTCGGCCACCCATATTTTCTTGAGGAGTGGTTCTGTGTGCCGGCCGACCAGCCTAATGATGAATTGACCCCACTGAAATTGCCTTGGATTGTGGGTCAGCTGAACAGCTTTTGATTCCTCACAATATGGATCAGCCGACTTGCCACACCCTGGCTCGGCAAAGTCAGTTTACATACCTGAGGTCATGAATTATTAAATCGGCTCTATTATCCGAGACATAGCCCGGGCACTTTTACTCATTTAATTCACTTGTCTGCTCGGTTGTTTTCCACCCAGCCTTGGCACCAGCCAAAGTACTTCAACAATTTAATATTAAACAGGTTCTATTTTAATTCACTTGTCTGCTTGGTCATTTTCCACCTGGCCTCGGCACCAGCCAAAGTACTTCACCAATTCAATATTGAATTGGCTCTATTACCTGAGACGCAGCCTGGGCACTTTTGCCAATTTAATTCACTTGTTTGCTCGGTTGTTTTCCACCCAGCCAAAGTACTTCAACAATTTAATAGTAAATCAGCTCTATTATCCGAGACGCAGCCCAGGCACTTTTGCCGATTTAATTCACTTGTCTGCTCGGTTATTTTCCACCCGGCCTCGGCACCAGCCAAAGTACTTCACCAATTCAATATTAAATCGGCTCTATTACCTGAGATGCAGCCTGGGCACTTTTGCCAATTTAATTCACTTGTCTGCTCAGTTATTTTCCGCCCGGCCTCAGCACCAGCCAAAGTACTTCAACAATTTAAAATGAAATTGGCTCTGTTATCCAACATGCAGCCCAGGCATTTAATTCACCTGTTTGCTCAGTGATCATTTACTCGAACACAGCAACAGCTAGATGACTTCAACAAATTACTTTAATCACCTGCACCACCCAATGTGCAGCCTGGCCGTCTTTACTGATTTAATTCACTTGTCTGCTTGGTTATTTTGCATCTGGACACGGCACAAGCTAAAGTTCTTCAACAATTCAATATTAAATCATCTGGGCAAGTCACTTTTCCTGTAAACATACCACATGTTGGACATTTCGACCAGGCATGGAAGCCTGGGTCTGGCTCAAATAACCCTGCTCGGCTGCATCAAATGCAAGCCGAGCAGAAAACATGTACTAGTCCATATTGAAAAGGCCGGGCTGGCTCAAACATCGGGTGATCCCATGTTTATAAATTGTCAGTTTTCGTGGCCGACTCAATAGCGGTATCCATTTGCTGGACTGATCAGCTGAGCCATGACTACAATAATGTGGGTCCCACCAGCTGACTCTGCTAATCAGAATTTAAGACCCTCGGCCGATCACCAACCCAGGAACATTCAAATCTGTCAACTGATCCTGCATAGCTATCTTCCATCAGCCGATATACAAATAGTTGTGCTTCACTCTCCAGGTGTAATTCCTGCTGATCCAGCTGTGCTAAATCTACATCGCCGGCCGACCCTTCATTACCTTATTCATGGGACTGCATCGGCCAATTCATCAACACCAGGTTATTGTCTCTTATCGGCCCATCAGCAGGCACCATCAACTATGGCCTGTTTGTATGTTCGGGGCTCTCAGTGTTGGTGGGTGATTCCTACTAACTGCCCTGCATATTGAAGGTGATAAAAATAAAAAGTTCACAAGAAGCCGCCGTTAAAGAGTATGCGAAGTGTATGAAATATGAGATTGTGTTTCTAATTGACTATTATCCAGTCCTGCTGGCCGGCTTTTATGGCTTGGGTGTGTGCTCATCCCAGTCTTACTGCCAACTTTTCAAGGATACAACAGCCTGACTGGTTGGATCAAATACGGAGTGAGTCTCCTCACATTGGCTCCAGAGTGAGTCTCTTCACATTGGCCTCCCTTCTTGCATAAATTGTAGAGTTGGTCTGTTGTAAGTTGGAAAACATTTGACAAACTCCAGGAATTTTTACGTAGCTGGAAATGCAAATCTGTTATGAATGTTTGTGTTTGCTATTCGACGGCCACATTTTCCTCTTTCCTGCTACGCCCACATTTTCCTCGTTCCCACTACACATCATCATTATATCCTTTGGCCATTTCAACAGTAGACAAACATGGGAAGAAAAGCACACAGCAACATCGCTAATCCTCACTTCAACAGGCTTGTTATAAAAAATGGAAGGAGGTCTTTTCCCTCCTCCACTATTCCCTCTCTGCCATTTTCCCCTGTGAAAAAACGTAACTGCAGCCATCTGGAAAGAGACATTGAAAGGGAACACCAAGATTTGCCATACGTTGAATATGCTCCTCCTCTCGAGGATCATCAACCTTACAGAAATGTGAAATTCCTCTTCCAATATATTCATATACTGAACGCTAATACACTATCAGTCATCCAATGATTACATGAGGGTTTGGAAAGAGACTAAGCGTAATCTATACCTCCACGAATTTTTGGATAGGAAAGCGTCAAAGCGGGTTTGTATCTCTTGCAAGAAGGAGGCAAATTGGCGATGTCTCGATTGCATTGCCAGCACGGCATATTGTGCAGAATGTTGCCGAACATCCCACTGCAGGGACCCTTTCCACCAGATTGAACATTGGACCGGCACCTTTTATGAGCCGAGCTGGCTGTGGAAAGTGGGTTTGGTTATTCGACTTGGTCACGAAGGTGATCGGTGCCCGAATGGAAGCAGCAACTTGAGTGCCGACCTTGACATTGACGAAGAGGAATGGTTTGACATGGAAGACCTTACCAGCACTTCGGCCGATCCAAAACCAACGGACCGTATTTACAATGGTGGCCGGGTCATGACCGTCGTCCATACTTCCGGTGTGCATCACCTACCTATCGTCTTCTGTGGATGTTCTGGTGCAGCAGCCGAGGACATACAGTTGTTCCGGGTTGGGTTGTACCCATCCACCTACAAGTCTTGCCAGACCGTATTTACCTTCCAACTCCTCGATGACTACCTGCTGGAAAACCTGGAGTGTAAAACATCGGCCACCCACTACTACTCCAAATTGAGAAGGATCACCAACTTTGCATTTCCTAATTCCATTCTGGTATGTTGTTCAAGTACCGAGGTATACTCCCATCTAAAAACGTTTGACAGAACCAGTATCACGAGTTAATAAGGGTTGGTAGACAATACCGTAATCTTACCGAACTGGCTACTTTTGGATTTGGACACAAAGGTAAGGCTCCGACGCCGGGGGAGATGGGTTTTTTTTGCCCTACCTGCCCACAACCAGGAGTCAACCTTCCTGATGACTGGAACAAAAACCCCAATGATCCTACTAACTGGAAGTATACCAGAGGATTTGTAGCCGATGGCAATTTCACAGCAGCCCACCAAAAACAGGCACGGCCCAAAGATGATGTTTGGCTTAAAAATGGGGATAGTTTCATGACGCAAAGAGGACCTTATTTGAGCCACCTTCGGGAGGCAATTGAAGATAATGATGTAAGTTTTTATCCTTCGAGCGACTCGGCCGGTGTCTGAATCTTTCAGCCGAGGACATGTCATGAGCACAATGCTATCAACAACAAGAATGTATTTCACCGAGGTTTTGACACTACTGGAATTGGAGCCATTGCTTGCCTTCGACATGGCACCTTTTGTCCGGGTTCGGTGGTAGATTTTCAAAAGGGAGAAAGGTATGGAAGTTATCCTGAGGTTGAATCGTTGTTTTACCGAACAGGCAAATGAACATGGACTATGCCTTGTGCCAGGCTCTGAAGAATACCATGACCGGTGAAGAAAAAAGGGTTATTTTTGTCTATGACATCAACTGCCAGTATATGGTGAATTTGATGGCTCGGATAAAACGTGGTGCGAAACACCTCTGGATCAGACCAGACTTGTTATTGGTAGCCGGGATCGGCTTATTCCATGTCCATGGCCATCAAGAAATATGCTTTCCACGATTTGCCCCAACATTCATCCCCGGGGCCGGTCAAACAGATGGAGAGATATTGGAGACTTTGTGGGCTGTTCTCAACGAGGTCGGTCGCACCACCCGGACAATGACTTTGGCCCATAGATCGGAGGTGTTGGATGCTCACATGCTGGATAATAACTGGAAAAAAATGATCAATATGGGTATCTATTTTCAACTGCTTTTACATTGCTTCTAAGCTAATAAACGTCAAGTGAGTAGCCTTTGCAAGAAGTGGAAGCGAGCAAAACTCGGGCTCTCTGAAAGCTTCCAGGCTCTTGAAGAATTAAGTGCCTCAGCAAGTAAGGAACAGATTCAAGAATGGGAGCAACAGATCAAAACATCAATTTGAACCAGGCAAAGGACCTTTCCGCCATGGACATCTATTACGTCAAGGTCAAGGAAGGCAAGGACCAAGTTTTCCATCACAAAGGCCAGCTGTAAAATCATTCAATCAGCCGAGACCGAAAAGGGCATTTGGCTAAAACTTATGACTAAAGAACAGGCAGGCAAGGTCAAGCCAGGGTTAACTGGATGGGTAAACACCGGTATCAAAATTCAGGAAGCCCAGTGAGTAAAGTCAAATATTGCTAGATTCAAACATTGAACAATCCAGAGCCAAATTGGCCGCCTTTGTGAAGGCTCAAGGCAGTTGTCCAAGTGCCAATCAGAAGCTGGAGATAATGAAACATTGAGAGAAGCTGTCCAAGCAACTTGAAGAGTTTTCCGAGGCCGGTCAAGGCCATTTTCCCAACTTGGAAATTAATGAAGGAACTATTCATGATCCACCGCTCTCGGAGGATATTGTGGATGACGATGACTGGAGCAATTGTGATGAAGAGGAAACCCCAGCACCGAGCATACCCAGTTTGCCTGATCAGGGATATGGATCGGCCGAACATCAACAAATCCTCTTACCATCCTCATTTCAAGCAGCCCTCCTCCCTACATCACTGGGAGAAGCCCGGTGCGTAGAGATAGAATTGAGAGTGGCCCAGGCAAATAACACTCTGAAGCATTTATGGGAAGCCATCGGTTACAAGTCATTCCTTTATTGGAAGAGAATTCAAGCCGAGAAATTGAAAAAATGTGTACCTCGGGCTTACGATGCTGTACAAGGATCGGATCGCGATATGAAAAGTGCTCTCCAGGCATACAACCAAGCTCGATGGGCTCTTAATCAGCTCAATGCTCCTCAGGGCACTCGTGACCGATACAAGCCGATAGGGAAAAAAGATACAAGGGCACTAACTACGGTATACAATGGCAACGCCCGGGGTCAAAGAAATATTGCTCTGCCATGGTTCTGGAATATGGCTGTGGCTGATGATTCGTCGGGTTCAACATACATGGAACAAGGTCAGATCCAGTCACTTTTATTACTCTACATGAATTGAAACCAGACAAATCAAAGTATATCGGGTGAATTGGCTCAGAGCAAAAGCTCGATATGACCGGTGGTCAGAAGAGCATACCTTGATCCCAAACGAAATGAACTGGACCCGCCTCTATTTCATCAACAAAGCAAGGGAGTGGGCTGGGCTGAGGGACTTGGTGCCAGACAAGCCGGGACATGTATGCTTTGCCGAGGGGCAAATCAGTATGTGGAAAGAACTGGCCTTCCAGGCCACCAAAGAATTTATAAATGCCGGGGTCATGTGCGAGGCCATTGCATTACCTAATCCTAGTTCCAAAGCAAGGGAGTGGGCTGGGCTGAGGGACTTGGTGCCAGACAAGCCAGGACATGTATGCTTTGCTGAGGGGCAAATCAGTATGTGGAAAGAACACAAGTAGATGTAACTGTCCCTATAATACCATAAAAGTACAACATGGACAATTGTCCTCTGGGTCATAGGACTACCCAAATGGGCCCAATAGTCATACAGGCAATGGCAACATATGTGGGACCAATGCGGATGGAGGCAATGGCAACATATGTGGGACCAACATGTATCAGTCATTATGGTGCCAAAGGGAGGCCCAAGGTAATCTCAAGTTAGACTTAATAGCGGGTATAGAGACCATAGACAACAGTAGTCCAAAGTTGGGCTTAATACAAGTATACTTAGCGGCATACCCGAGACATGAAACCCCCGAAAAGTCCGCACAACTAAATAGTCTGAACTAAACGAACCAAGCAAAGCAAAACCTGACTGACATTGAAATTTTTATACAAAGTAGTCTACAGGGAATCATCCATATCCTCGGTGAGATCCACAACCGCATTTCCCAGATCTGGACCTTCATCCATCTTGTCCATGGGATGATTTTCCCCCGAAGCATCGTCCCTCTTTTCTACGGAATGATTCTCCCCCGAAGAATTCCCCCGAAGCTCCATCGCCGCTCTCCTCATCGCAATGATAACCTCCAACTGCTGGAGTTGATCTTCTGCATGGGCACGAGACTCAAGCAGGACATTGAGTGACCTCCGAGTTTCTTCCTACTCTCGGTACAAAACCTTGTATGCAATGCGGGCGTATTCCAGCGGATGAGTGACCTTCGGAAGTTCCGGAACGACCGCATCGTAGAAAGTCCTCCGAAGATAACTTGGAGGTGCCGTCTTTGAAGGCAGGGGGGGGTCATCTGGCTTCCCATCTGCAGTTGAAAGAGGAGGGGGATTTGATGAACCCGCTGTCCCGCGCTATAATTGAAACATTAACAGCTCGGACATAATATCAGAAGAAAGTGCCCACCTCCATATCATCCGCTTGGATTCCATCGTACTTTTTTACGATGTTTCTAATGCCTGAGACGTCGGTCAAGAAATCGAACTGATGAGGGGATCATATACCATGTGTTGCCTCAAAGTACCGCAATGTACACTCCGGGGGGAGAGGCACAGGAGGAGCCCAGACTAAACGCAAACATCCGGATCAATGCGAAGCTCTGAAATAACGAATGGTACTAACTCGATGGTTCAACGGATGCCATTCTGGTAGACGAGAGCAAAGATTAGGGAACTTAGTGAACACAATGTAGCAACTCTGACAATGTTACATCGTGACGCTGCAAATACCCGAATGTGGCCACGGTTGAAATTCCCGAATGGGTAATGACGGCATAACAGACATTTCACTTCAACTACCATCTCGTTTCCCTCTCAAACCACTGTCTCTTTCCGCATTGCCATCCAACAGTCGACTCATCATGACTTCCATCTACACTGTACCCGAAGAACATCTCCAAGGCGTGCTGCCCACCCTGGCAACTGCAAAAAATGTTGTCCCACGGATCGTTGCGCTGGTCGAGGCATGTTGGGAATGGTATGGGAAGCAGTTTTCCACGGCGGATGACGAGGAAAAGAGGAACAGGGAGCTTGGGTTGCGAAGGGTCATGGTAAGTGTAAGTGGCTTGTAAACATTCAACTGCCGTCAGACTGATGATGACTGTTCAGATCACCTACCTACGTGCGATACACGTCATTGGAGAGTGCGAGGACATTGAACTTCCTCCGTTGATGGACCGCGTTTGCGAGGAAGTCTTAGGGAGCAAATCTGGGGAGTTCAATTGGCAGGTTTTGGAAGACCCCTCCCCAGAGCCAGCGGATGAATTCGAGGAGCTAGATGTCCTCATGAGCGAGTGGCTTTCGGCACAGCCATCCGATCCCAAGGGGAAAGGAAAGGCTAAGGAGACTTCCGAGATCGCAAAGCCTGGGGGTGGTTCGGAGACTGGGAAGCCGAAAGGCAAGGGTCATGGGCAAAAGCGTAAGGCGGACGTTTCGGTGGAAGAGGGCAAGGACGTGGTGCGGGGGAAGAAGGTGAAGATTCAGGCTGGAGGGAGCGAAGCGGGACCAGCTCCGCCTCGCGACGACGACGACGATGAGGCGGACTATGACTACCAGGCAATGGGTGCCACGGTCACTCCTGGCGTCCGACGACCACGTCCCATCTGCAATCAATGCATTAGGCGGGGAGATTCCTGCAAATCTGAGACCGCTATCCGAGGCCAGGCCTGTGATTCCTGTCGGGCCAAAAAGAGTCGATGCAGCTTCGTCGGCAACAAGGGTCCGATGAACCTGAATCAAGTCACATCACGATCCCCCAAGGAAGAGGTTTCGACTCCCTCGCTGGAAGGGAAGGTTCAAGCAACGGGTTCAACGTCGAAGGCCCAGGGGACTGGGAAACCGAAGCCAAAGTGCAAGACGGACAGCGGTCGAAATACAAAACCAGCAGTCCAGACTGCGTATGTTCTCGTTCCACTAGTAGCTACCACTTTTATGATAAAATACAGGCAAGTGCCTGCACACCGACATCCACACTGCCTAATGAATTTATGAAATGAGAAGAGTAGGCAAAACTTATGAAATGTATTTCATTTCTTTACCAGTGCTTCTCATGACTATTTCATAACTGTCCTGAGACATATTTCAATACTACTTCATTGCAATTTCATTACTGCCTGGCCTTCCATTTCATTGTCTACCCAGCATTGTTTCATTGCTATTTCATTCTTGCCTGACTTTTAATTTCATTGGCTACCCAGCCTTATTTCATTGCCTTTTCATATCCTTGCCTAGGCTACTTCATATTCATTTCATATCCCTGCCTGGACAATTTCATATCCCTGCCTGGGCAGTCTCATATCCCTGCCTGGGCAATTTCATATCCCTGCCTGGGCTACTTCATATTCATTTCATTTCTTGCCTGAGGCAATTTCATATCCCTGCCTGGGTGATTTCATATCCCTGCCTGGGCAATTTCATATCCTTGCCTGGGCAATCTCATATCCCTGCCTGGGCTACTTCATATTCATTTCATTTCTTGCCTTAGGCAATTTCATATCCCTGCCTGGGTGATTTCATATCCCTGCCTGGGTAATTTCATATCCTTGCCTGGGCAATCTCATATCCCTGCCTGGGCTACTTCATATTCATTTCATTTCTTGCCTTAGGCAATTTCATATCCCTTCCTGCATAATTTCATATCCCTGCCTGGGCAATTTCATATCTATTTCATTCCCTACCTTGGGCTATTTCATATCCTTGCCTTTGCAATCTCATATCCCTGCCTGGGCTATTTCATACCTACCCTACTGCATTTATCATTGCCCCCTCAGAATGTCAGGCACTGCCTTCAGGGTCCATTTCAGGGTCCATCCCAAAGAGGAAACATCACCTGGTTTGACCAAAAGTGAAGAAAACCAAGAGGAGAATGTTTTTACCTATCAGGGTCCATATAATGGGATGTTGGGATGTTGGTCACATGACCAATTACCAAAAATGGTCAAAAATGAAAGTTGTAGCCCTACACTATAGCTTGCCGAATCTGTTTGAATTATGTTCTGAAGTGCTCCCATTGTGAAGATATGAGGTAAAAGATTTTCAAAAGTGTTGCTTCTTTTTTGTGTTTTTTCTTTTGCATTTTTCTCCATGAAAACCAAACCAAACAACATGATTTCAGTATATTTGGAAAGCTAAAAGAAAGGGCTACAATTATTGTATCGTGGGAAAAATGACCAAAAAAGGAAGATGCATGCCCTAGAAAAGAAATTGACACTGATAGACTATAATAGTCAGATATAGACTACCATAACTACCAAAAAGTCAGACTTAGACTACAAGGTTTACTGATAGACTACAAAAGTCAGACTTAGACTACAAAGTTTACTGATACACTACAAAAGTTGGATATAGACTACAAAGTTTACTGATACACTACAAATAACTACAAAAGTCAGACATAGACTACAATGTTTACTGATACACAAAAGACTACAAAAGTCAGACTTAGACTACAAATTTTACTGATAGACTACAAAAGACCATAAAAGTCGGACTTAGACTACACAGTTTACTGATAGACTACAAAGTATACTGATAAACTACAAAAGACTACAAAAGTCGGACTTAGACTACAAGGTTTACTGATAGACTACAAAAGACCACAAAAGTCAAAAACTTGTACTTAGACTACAAAGTTAGTAGTGTCTGCTTTTTGAGACCACAAAAGTTTGTAGTGTGCGCTTTTTCATTAGAAAAGTTAGTAGTGTCCGCTTTTTGGGACTACAAAAGTTTGTAGTTGACATGTAGTCTATTGTGTTCTTGGCTCTGTCCAGATTATGGGGGTGAGGTTGAAGGGTTGACATGATCTTACTTACATATTACTAATGCTGCTGCATTAGTTTTTGACATCATGCACAAGTTGTCTTCACATTAGGAAAGGCTATCCTATGCCTTCATAATGGCACCTACTGTCCTATCTCAAAATATAATTATTATAAGTTCATGTGGAGATA